TATTTATATATAAATAATAAATATACACAGCACACACACACATATATATATTATGTAAACAAAAACTTTTATTTTTGGATGCGATTAATCGCGATTAATCGTTTGACAGCACTCATTTTTAATCGAAGTAATTCAAGAACCTTATTTATTTTGGTTAGTGGAATCATTCCTAATTTTATTTTATTTTTTAAGTTTAACCTTTTCTTCTAATATTTCTATTTTATTTTATTTCAGCTTTATTGAGACATTTTACATTTGTACTTTGATGACAAATTTGCAAGAGTTAAATCTGACAGAATCGCCTTGAGGACTCATTCAGAGAGAAAAACAATTCATAAAGAGAGTAAAAATGCTTTATTTCTATTTTTACAATTATAACGTTTGGTAAGACAGCAGTAATAATATTCAATCCTATTTGAAATAATCAATATGGCATGAAGTCTAAAGATATTTTTATAGTTTTTAATCATATTTTGAATGAGTTTTTATTGTATATTATGTGTTTTCATTTTACTTTGTTCTTTTTATTTTTTTTTTATATGTCTATATAGTTTCCTTTAATTTTAGTTATTTCAGTTTAGTTATTTTAGTACATGAAGATAAACTAAATTAAAATGAGACTAAACTAACTAAATGGACATAAAATATATATATTATATATATATATATATATATATATATATATTATTTTTTTATTTTTATTTTTTTTATTATTTCACTCAGGCCCGGTTTCACAGACAGGGCTTAGACTAAACCAGGATTAGGCCATAGTTCAATTAGGACTGTGCAAGTTTCTTTCAGTTGAAACAGCTCAGACTTACATTTTAGTCTAGGACTAGGCTTAAGCCTTGTCTGTGAAACCGGGGGTTAGAGTTTATTTTAACTCAAGTAATGAAAATAGTTTTGTGGTTTTAGTTTCAGTTCACTATAATAACCCTGACTATGACCTTTATGTATGTATTTGATCATTTATTTCGATAGCTAGGTAGTGTTTGAGTTACTTAGCTATAGTTTAAAGCCTGTAATTAGTCTTTAGAAATGCATCGGATGTCTATGATATGCAGTGTTTGAGCGTGTGGGTCTGTTTCATATGAACAGCAGTAGATATGAATGTGAAAAGGCTTCATCTCAGCGCTCCTCCTAGTTTGTCCAGCACCTTCAGGCCTCTCTCCTCGTACTCGGCTCGCGAGAGCCAGAAAGACTCTTTGTCTTTCATGATGTTGGCCAGCACCGCTCCTCCCATGAAGACCATGTGTTTGCGCTGCGGAGGGTCTTCGATGCGGATCTTAAATTTCTGCGAGAAAACAGCAGTGACGAGAACGCCAAAATCAGCTCGACTGAAACCAAATGAACTGAAAACTAATACAAAAGCTCAATTTCTGACATATAGCCTGCATCTTTGGATTGACGCTACGTTTATTGTGAGCAGGTACCTCTCTTAACTTTATTTACATGTTAATAGCAGTGAACTCTATTGCTTTTCTAAGGCCTTTGTGATGTAAAACTGCTCAGCTGGGGCCTCATGTATGAATGTTTTCTACACACTAATTGAGTTTTTGAAAAGTCCATAAACTAGCGGTCAACCAGTAATGGATAGACACTATTACAATATTTATTATTATTTTGAATTGGCTTGTAGTTTTCATATTTTCAGTTTTTCTTTTTAATTATAGTTTTAGTCATTTAGTAAGTGATTTTATCATTTTTATTCATATTTGTATTTTAAATATTTCTATATAATTAATTTTTATTTCAATTTTAGTAATTTAAGTACTTCAACCTCAACTTATTTCAGTTAGTTATCAAGGCAACATTTCTATTTTTTAAGTTTTTCTTTAGGAAAAAAAAAGAAAAATGTTATTTAATAAAAAAAAAAATGTTTTTATTTATAGTTAAAATTTTTCTAAATTTGTAAAATGTTTTTTTTGTAAAATGTTCTTTTCAATTTTACATGTAATATATATTTGGGTATTTTCCTATTCATTTTTCTCATAGGGATTTTTAAAAAGTCTTCTTTAAGGCACTATAAGCTACGAACCAAGCTCTACAAGGTGAATCACAGCATTACAAACTTGGATTTTGAAACAAAGATGTATTTGAAAATCAAACAAACAGACAGGACTGGTACAGAAAGATACAAGACTTTGAATGGTTTTAGTGAGGGGGAAAAAACTACAATCCCATGAAGCCTTACGAATGACATAATCGAATTAAAAATTACGGCAAAATACAAAATTAATTTAAAGTTGTTGATTTTATCTATCTGTGTTTTACGCAAAATATCAATGTTTACTGTGAGAGTGTAGACCTACTTTCTACGTCATCGGAGACCAAATGATTACGTCATTTGCTGTGTTTCATGAGAGTGGGTGGAGCTAAAGAGCTCTTGGCGACTCCGATTGGTGGAATCTTTGCACAGCATCATGGGTAATGTAGTTTTTTTATTTTTTTTTTTTATACCACAAATTCCACTGTTTAACAGGAATATTAAAAAAATTAGTTGAAATAATGTGAACATGATTTAAAACAAAGCATATACCATTGATTAACAATCCATTAGTTCACAACAAGTCTGTCTTAAAATGATATAAGTTATAGTTAAAAATCTGTTTCCCTATGGATCTGTGATTCTCAGTTAGTTTTGCCTCAGGACCCAAATACTGTAATGGACATACAGTATCGAACTTTGCCTATTTTTGTTCATGGTTTGTGAGGGCATGTCCTACAATACCTTCGTTTTCATCAGCTGTAAGTGTGTTTCTAGGGTTTCGAGTGTATTACCGTGTAGGACTCCACCAGGATTGTGGTCTCATTGGCCAGTTTCTGTTCCTGCTCAATGTTGTAGCCAACAAAACACAGTTTCTCCTTCATCATCCGCACCGTCTCGAAGTCCGCCGTGTGGTTGAAGGCATAGCCTCGCAGAAGCAAAAGCTACATGGATGGAATATACTGGATGAATATATAACAGATGAAAGATGTCTTTTTTGCTAGCAGATTGATCTTTTTAAAAAATAAATCAATAATTCTAGATTGATTCTAGTTTTGATCCATTTTGAGATCATTTATGAAAATGAGTCTACAAAATAGACAGTTTGATGAAATGTCCAAGGTTCAATTGAATTAAACCCTGTCGACAGTAATGTTGATTACAATAAATGAAATTCTATTCATCTAAGCACCATGAAACAACATTGGACTGTCAAAAGCTCATTTTGGGGGGTGAACGAACTAAACCGGTAACATCGCACTGAAGTGGTCCTCCTCAGTTTCCATGGTGAGAACAGAGAATATGAAAATGTCACCTTAATCAGATAGCGCGTGATGTCACGTCCTGCGATGTCTAAGCGGCGTGTGAGATGAGGGAGAGAGAAGCCCTCGTAAACGGGACAGATGTGAGTCACACCATCTCCGGAGTCGATCACCACACCGGTCAACAAACCTGCCACACCAACAAAGCGTACATTCAGGGTTGCCAAGTCTGCGGTTTTCGAAATTGGGCCCCCTTTATACGATTGTCGCTGGTTGATTTTATTACATTTTTTTCTCATTGCTTTGACATTTTGCATATTTGACTGAAACATTTATATTCATATATACTAAAACGTAGCGTTCCGGTCCTTGATTCTGATTGGCAGATTATGTTGCTGATTTGAAACGTGCTATTTAAACCTGTGTGTAGTAAGAGGGTTTTGAGATTTTAGGATTGCCCCATTCAAGTAGAAAGGACTTGGCATCTTGGATGCCCGAAATAGTTGCCCGGAGGCGTTGCGTATACAGCCACCGAGTGAACAGAATTTCCTTAAAAAGGACTTTGGTATAATGCATAAAAGTGACAGAGTGCATAGGGCCCAGAGGCTGAGAGGGGCCCCCCCACCACTGAACGTGATTTTGAGGGGGGCCCCATAGCAAATTCTGTGCAGTGGGCCCAGAATCCCTAGCAACTACAATGATAGGAGTGGTGTATTTTGAGTTCACTGTAAAAAAAATGTTACATTTACAGTTTTTGTTGAGATAATTAAATATCCAACTCAACCAAACTAGAGGTAACTAAACCTACTTTTTAATCTTTCGCTTACTTTTTTAAAACAGTCGAAACAATAAGGCATCACTAATTATTCTAATGATAAATTATGAGTTGTGATAACTAATCGCAGCATTTTATTTATTTTTTACAGTGTTTTGATAACAGGGTGATTGAGCTATTTTGGCCTATTTTTGATGGCCATTGGCCTAGTTTTGTTTCGCAGACCTGGCAACCTTGTTCTTTGTTGAACACATTAGAGAACGGTCTGTTTTACCCTGAGCGTAGAGAGTCAGCACGGCCTGAATGGCGATGTAGATGCCGTGGAACTTGTAGGTCTCAAACATGACCTCGGCGATCTTCTGCCGGTTCTTCAGCGGGTTCAGGGGCGGCTCCGTCAGCAGGACCTTACAGTCAGGAGGGCTGATGTTGAGCCGCCGCGGGCCGAACGTGTGATCCCACAGGTGCAGCATGTCCTCCCAGCAGCGGACCATCCCGTTCTCCATGGGGTACGAGACCTCCAGCATGGAGCGGCATTCGCTCGCCTCGTCACCAACCATCAGATCCTGAAGACAGGTGAACAGTGTCTTGATTTCAGAATTGAACAAGTATTCAAATTACTGAGGGTATCGGATTTTTAATTCATCTTATTTACCTTAATAAAAATAAATTTTTATTCAATTCATTTAAAATTAATCTGTGTATTCCATTAATTCTATATTCTGCACATTTAAAGACGGAGCATAGTTTCTGCATCTCACGCAACTCCCAAATAATCTACCGTCAACAATCTTTGAAACTTTTTAAAAAGAAAATGTTGTTGCATATCTGAGAAATATAAATCTATTTTAGAATAATAAATAGGACAGTGCATGTGTTGTTTACATTATAATTTTGTGGTTATTGAAACTTTTGAAACAGTCTTGAAATGTACGAGAGTGCAAGGGATATAGTATTGCATTAAATAATATAGAATAAGGCACTTAAAACTACAATAAAAGATGTATTAAAACGAGGAATAGAGTTATTTGAAATAGTAAACTGTAATAAAAGAGATGTTTTATTGCTACAATGTGTATTAGTGTATTTATTAATATGCTATATATTATTATATATTTATTAATATTTTGAATTGTTCTATATTTTAATATTTTCAGGTTGTATTTTAATTTTATTTCAAGTTTTAGTAGTTTTATGTTTTGTCATTTTTATTGTTTTTTAAATATTTCTGTATAACAATGTTTTTGTTTGTTTTGTTTTAACAGTTTTATTTCAATGTAATTGTATTGTTTTAACTGTATTTATTTCACTACTTGGTATTGCAACATTTTAAAATTTCATAAAATTTTTTCATGTTATATTTTTTATATTTTTATTTCAGCTTTATTTTAATTAGGGAAACAATTGTAATCATTTTAGTTTTAGTTAACGATAACAACACTGGTGTGTGTGTGTGTGTGTGTGTGTGCATGTTTATGTGGTTTATGAGAACACAAATTTGTATACTAACATGGGTATGACAGGTATTACAACGAGAAGGTGATTTATGAGGACATTTTCAGTGTCTCCGTAATTCAAAAGGCTTATAAATAATTCAGAATGAGTTTTTTTGAAAATCTGAAATAGCACAAAGTTTCCTGTAAGGGGTAGGTTTAGGGGTAGGGTTGGTAAAGGGCAATAGAATATACGGTCTGTACAGTATAAAAACCATTACGCCTATGGAGAGTCCCCATAAACCATAAAAACAAACCTGTGTGTGTGTGTGTGCGCGTGCGTGCGTGTGTATTTTTGTTTTGTTTTGTTTTGCCCGGATAACTCACCTTGATCTCTACATTTCCAACTTTTGTGTCTGACCGAATGATGGGACGTCCCACCAGGGCCGGGAAGATATGATCGGGAAAATTGGAGCCAGCAAAACCACACTTGACAAACTGCAGACATTACATGAGAAGATGACAACTCAGTTCTCTTCTATACCTATTTCAGCTTTCTAAGGTCAGCGCTGCAGATATTGCACCGAATTGTCTGAGATTAGCTTGTTTTGAAGAACTGCAACTTCCCCAACTCCCTCTAACTTCCCTTTATGTTCACTAAACTGTGTTTTAAAGTTTCAGGTCATGAACCTCCAGACTAGAGAAGCACAACACTAGCAAGCTTCAAAGTTTAAAGCACTTCCTCATTTGTGACCAATAACCATGTATCTTTTTCCCTGCCACCTTTTAAGGTGAAGTGAGTAGTGTTTCTGGGCAGGCGTGTTCAGACAGATTTCAGCAATGCAACAGGCCTCTGCATGAGCCCACGTCAGGCATGCAGCAATGCAGTCACTACAGTAAAGTCATGTAAATAAAGTTTCTGAAATCTTATTTGTGTTAAAAAATTTAGTTGGAAGAGCAAAATATTTATTTCTATGTAAGTTTCCTTCAACATTCATTTAAACACAAATAGTGTTGCTGGTCAGTCCTGTGCATCAGGATCTGTATTTAAATCAGTGATATTCTATAGCAGCAGATATATTGCTTACATAGAGTTTTAGCCCCAGAATAATGACTTGTAAATCTCTTACCCCCGTCCCATTGTCACAGACGACCACTTTCCTCCCGCCGCTGTCCATGCTGTTTCAGAGGAGCTGCAGTGCATTCGGTGAGGATGCAGACGCTCCTCAGTCTCAGTCAAGCTGTTTGGTGACGTGAGGTCAGATTTAAAGGGGCCGGTTTACCTGAGGAGGAACAGAGCAACTCCGCCTTCACTGCACGCACTGCTTGTTACACTCTAAAAATATGACATTTCATGGAAAAATAATGCCGAAATCTTACAGAAAAACTTGTTAATTGGTGTACTGCCAGTCACCTTATCGTACAGGAAATATATTATACTTTGAAAGATGTATATATTTGAAATATGTAAATAAAAAACTGTAAAATATTGTGAAAAATGATGCATAAAAATAACGAACTACCTTATAATTGAGAATTTATAATTAAGAAACTAATACATGTATTTTTACGGTAAAAAAATACAAATAAAATCCCAAAGGAAAACCCTTTTAAGTCACATTATCATACAATAAAATGTTGCATTTTAAAAGACAATACATGTCATTTAAATATTGTAGAAAATGATACATAAAAACCTTATAATTGTGAAAATGTTTAGTCTATTTAACGACGCAATTTTTACAGTAAAACCGTAAAAATCCCAAAAGAAAAATCTTTTATCCTGCAGTTACACTCTAAAAATATGCAATTTAATGAAAAAAATAATTTGTAGTGATAGTGAACGTATCATACAGTAAATATATTTGTATTATATTTCAAAAGACAATAGATATTTCAATTACTGTAAAATGTTACCTTATAATTGAGAACATGTATACGTAACAAAGCAATATGAATTTTTATATACAAGTAGGGATCGAAAGATCAGAATCTCTTCTATTGAGTTTTTGAGAAAGTTGTGCAGATTTGTAATGACATGAGAGTGAGTAAATGATGACAAAATTCTCATTTATCATTAATTATTCCTTGAAATGGTGATAGGTTTTGTAAAGCTGTATTATTGTTGATGCTTATGAGCGACTTTTGTTTTACCAGCCGTTTAGCATCTACAATTCACACTTGGAGTCTCTTAGATTCAAAAATAATATCATTTATTTCAAAATTGCAAACAGCAGACAAATGAAAACAAGACCGTCATGTGACTTCGGTGAGTATGGGTGTGGAAATGATAAATGACGGACGGTCATAAAGTTTGATGCCGTCCTCAAAGTATAGGCACATAAAAAGCTGAGTGACTGAAATGAAATGTACAGAAAGTTGATTGCAAGATGGTGTGTGTTCACAGTGTGTCCAAATTCACAGCGTATTAAAAGGTAAGCAGCATTAATATTCCATAAAGTCAGTTAATCTGTGTTCATCCAAACTACATCATTATATTCCCAATGAACCTAAATCCTCATTTAAGAACAAAAAAACAACAAAATGGAATGTTAGCACAATAACTGACATAATCTACACTATATTCTTATGAAAACATACAGCAGCAAGTTACCTCTACCTTCTGTTTTCAGTGGGTCTCTTTTCGAACAAGCAGATCAAACCGCTTCATGGTTTTGACAGATGTTTGTAGTGCTATGAAAGGCCTGGCTGGACGATCTAGATTAGATTTCAAATACGAAATCTGCATAATAGATGTCCTTCTGTGTGATAGGTCTCCTATTTTGTGCTACCTGAGTATTAGAATGATTGAAAAAGCCAATGAGCCTGAAGAGATTGATTTGGCACGTGCCTTTTAAGAGGTCCACAGTCTAAAAATTGTAGCTCCTCTTTGGTCAGGGACGAACCGATCACGAAAAAGGGAGCAACTGAGAACTCCGTTCTTTTTAGTCTGATGTCTTGCAATTTAAAACAGCAAATCGAGCTGATTTCTCAGTCTTTCCTTTAAGTGCATGTACAAGCAGCAGTCCTCTGCCCTCCAGATGCTTCAAACTCTCGTGTCTTTCGGTCTGTTTCGGAGGGCAGGTGCAGGCGTTCTTCACGACTCAAACTCGCTGTCGCTGCTGACGGATATGTCTGGTGTGGAGGCCCCGGTCCCCCGCGGCCCCGTGCCGGAGCTGCAGTCGCTCCCGGGACGATGCGGTGAGGAGCCCTGGTGGTGCGTGTTGTGCTCCGAGGAGCAGTCTGGAGAGCTTCTGGAGGGAAGGAGGGATGAATCTCGCTGCAATCTGGCGAAAAAAATGAGAGGTAGAAGAATATTTTACTCTATGCTTGAGATGCAAATCAGTCTCTAGTCTCTTAAATATAAAGGTTCCAAATGGAGGTTTTTCGCAGTGATGTCATAAAAGAACCATATTTGATTTCCCAAAGAACCTTTAAGTGTACGGTTCTTTAAAAAGAAGTTGAACCATTTATTGAAGAACATTTTAAACCTTTTGTGGAATGGAATAATTCCATGGATCTTCAAGGAACCATCGATGCCAAAAAAGAACCTTTATTTGTAAGAGTGTAAAAGCACATAAAACTCATGCGCTTTATTTCTGAAGCTATACAATAGCTTTGTGTGAGAAATACAACCAACCATCTTGTAATTATGTGGGAATGTCATATGCATACTTTTATGGTGCTTTTTGTCGTTTTTGGAGCTTGGGTGTATAAATCACACATTTACTTAGATGTACGTATAGAGATTCTGCCTAAAAACGTATTTTGTGTTTCACAGGAGCAAGAAAATAATATGAGCAACAATGTAGGATTAAGTAAATGATTGATTTTTTTATTATTGATTTATATGAGCTGTTTGTATTCCTGTAAGCTTCAGTTGGTAACACTTCACAATAAGGTTTTATTTGTTATCTTTAGTTAACTATATTACTTAACGTGAAAAATACTTACAGAATGTATTCATCTTAGTTAATGTTAAGATTACACATTTACAAATACATTATTAAAATCAAAAGTTGTATCTGTTAACATTAGTTAATGCAGTGGTTCCCAACCCTGGTCCTTGAGGCACCCCAACACTGCACATTTTGCATGTCTCCTTTCTCTGACGCACTAATTTCAGGTCTTGGAGTCTCTACTAATGAGCTGATGACCTGAATCAAGTGTGTTTGATTAAGGAGACATGCAAAACATGCAGTGTTGGGGTCCCTCCAGGACCAGGGTTGGGAACCACTGAGTTAATGCACTGTGAACTAATATTAACTAACATTAACAAAGGTTAATCAATGCTGTAAAAATATATTGTTCATTGTTAGTTCATGTTAGTTAATGCATTAACTAATGTTAACAAATGAGACCTTACTGTAAAGTGTTACCCTTTACTGAATATCATGTAATGTGCTTTTTGCAATTGCGTTTTATTTATTACATTTTTGAATTAGCTTTTATTTTTGTATGTTTGTATATTTTAAATGTGCTTTTGGCGTTCTTATTAGATTTGGTTATATATTAGCCGTAAAGGTAACATTTCTATTTTTTTATTTTATTTTATTTAAGATTTATTTCAATTAACAGAAATGGTTTTAGTAGTTTTGGTGGTAACACTTTATTTTAAGGACCAATTCTCGCTATTAATTAGCTGCTTATTAGCATGCATATTACTAGCATATTGGCTGTTTATTAGTACTTATAAAGCACATATTAATGCTTTATTCTGCATAACCGTATTTTAGATCCCGTAACCTACCCCGTACCTAAACTTAACAACTACCTTACTAATTATTAATAAGCAGCAAATTAAGAGTTTGTTCAGGGAAAATTTTAGGTTAATATTAACAAAAGTGAATGAACAATGAAATACAAATGCCTTGTTTTTTGTTTCTCAGCCATTCATTTTTAGTAGAGTGTATGAGTTTGTGTACCTGTTTTTAGCAGACGCTGCTCTGTCCCGCTGTCTTCTGTTTTTGAACCAGTTGCCCACCTGAGTGGGTGTGAGTCCCGTGGCCTGAGCCAGATGACGCTTTCTGGAGGGGTTTGGATAGGGATCCTGCAGGTACCATTCCCTCAGGAGGCTACGGGTTCGCTCCTAAAAAACACAAAACCAAGAGCACTGTCACTTAGTCTAAAAAATTACATTTACTTCAAAGTTACAATACCGTTCACAAATTTGGAGTTGGTAAGATTTTTTATATTTTTAAAGAAGTCTTTTCTGCTCACCAAGGCTGCATTTATTTGATCAAAAATACAGTAATAACAGTGAAATATTATTACAATTAAAATAGCCATTTTCTATTTGAATATATTGTAAAATGTAATTTATTCCTGTGATGTAAATCTGAATTTTCAGCATCATTCCTCCAGTCTTCAGTGTCACATGATCCTTCAGAAATCATTCTAATATACAAATTTGCTGCTCAAGAAACATTTATATTATCAATGTTGAAAACAGTTGTGCTGCTTCATATTTCTGTGCAAACCGTGATCTCATTAAAACAGATTTTTGTGCACATTTTCAGAAATGAACTATAATAACCTATTTGGCGTAGCTTAAAGGCACAATATGTGATTTTCGCCGCTAGAGGGCGTGTATTCAAAATAAACAAATAGACAAAGGCGTAGTTTGATGACGCTGTGACTGAGTGTGGAATCATGGGAGTTGTGGTCTTCATCCCCACAGCCGATGCAATCTGACGGGACTCGGGCAGAAATCATGTTCATGGATGAGCTAATGATTTATTAACGTAGTAGAATGAAGCAGGGTGAGGCTGAAAGCCGTCGAAGTGAAACGAGGCCGCTGAACGAGTGTAACACACGCCTCGAAAGCAGCGGAGCTTTTATTATGCCACAGTCGACCGCTTCCGCTGCTTCCGGTCGTGCGTATGTGGGGTAAAGCAGCGGAGCTTTTATTACGCCACAGTCGACCGCTTCCGCTGCTTCCGGTCGTGCGTATGTGGGGTAAAGCAGCGGAGCTTTTATTACGCCACAGTCGACCGCTTCCGCTGCTTCCGGTCGTGCGT